CATCGTACAAGTGCACAAGCGAGGTAAATTTCAAGTGCACAAGCGAGGTAAATTTCAAGTGCACAAGCGAGTGCTCGCCCGTCAACAACAGGCAGTCGCTTCTCTAGCAACCAAAGAGAAGGAGACGAACATCCTTGCGTCCGGTTTCAGTCGGGAAATCCCATCAAGGTCGGTGAGTGCGTTTGAAGACCCTCACCTCACCCCTTCATGTTCACCCGCCGAGGCGCGTCATCGATCGCCAATGTGAAGGACCATTTCTTACTCTGGGCCTCAAGCGAGCGAGGAAGAGGGGCCCGGCTACGGGCAGAGAGCCGGGCAGAGAGCCCTCGACGCGTCTTGGGAAAGCTCATCACCCGGCTAACACAAGCGAGCTGCTGGACCCGGTCGTTGAGGGCAAATCCTTAAGGAAATCAAGCACATGGACCTTCCAAGGAGTCCATTCTTGCAATCTGAGATATTTGAGGATGTTTGTTGGACCCTGAGGGACGCTTTGAAGACCCTTCGCTGTTTAAGTAAGTGAACATCTTGGAATCAAAAAAAAGCATTGCCAGGGATGTCCCTTTTCTCGAACCCAGGCGCAGTGAGGCTCGTCTTTTCATCCTTTTCGCCACATCGAACGGAGCGTCAGCCCTTTCAGCTTCGCTGCCACCTTTGAGCGTCGGCCACCCTAGTTGTCTCGAGGGTGCTTGATGCGTTCTGCCCGCCTCAGCAGCCAAATACATATCAGGAATGTCACAAGCATCACCACGTGCCACCTTAGCTGGTTCGATAAGAACTGTGCAGTTCTGACCCTGGGTGTATCTGGCACTCTCTGTGAAGATTGCCAAGTTTTCTGATTTCAACTCCCAAGTACAGTACCCATTTCATAGGCCCTTGACTCTGACTCGAGGAATTCATTCACGGCCACACAACCCATGAAAAATCCTGAGTCAAGGGCACTCGAACCTCAGGCTCGACGTGTTGGGAAACCGGAGACTTGCGCATCACTCTCGGGGCAGGAAGACTTGCGTATTGGGTTGTCAACGATGGCAGTTGAGCAACATGTGGAAGACGTGTGTGAATGAGCACAGGGTATGATTTATATGTTCCAAAAACATTGAAAAATGCTTCTATGTAATCTGTCTGTATTTTGTGATTGCTTTGCTCACTTACTGGAATAGCCCTTACAAATCTTCATCCTCAGGCCACGACCTCCTCCAAATGATCCAAGCGCCGGTGCCGGAGCCAAAACCAGCATGGCTTTGGAAATTCCTGGAGGAAAGCCTTCACGGCGATGATGGCCTCAGAAATGACGTGAGTCACCGAAGCTCGCTCTGCGAACTGATCGCAGAGATGAAGCGAAAGAATCCCAAAATCGTGTGATGTTTCTGTCGTTTTGTGACTTTACTGACAACTGTTCATCGATGTGTGACTGCGAATCCACTGCGAATCCAGCATTCCGCTGCTCTGGTCTTTTTTTTCCATGCGCTCCACCCCCTCGCTGTCTGCAAGGCTGCACCGAAAAGATGGATGTCACTTGTCACCACCTCGTGGAACGAAAGTTTGCGACTCGCAAGTCTTGAAACTTGCAAAGCTAAGCCGTACATAGCCGACTGAGGACCCTGCGGGTCACTGGAATTGGAATGGCGAGCGCTCAAAAGATGCGCTGCCTGCTTGCGGCCGCGGGTACATCTTGTTGCCACGATGCTTGGATGCGGGGAGCTCCTTCTGCTCATGGGAAGGGCCTCTCGCTTGGTCCATTTTGGATTGGGCAAGCACCGTTTGTGCCGTCTGCACCTCTTCAATGCGAGTTCTCACCATCTGCAAATCAAGGAACGTCAGTTGCAACTCTGCCAGGAGAAGTTCACGTTGCACTTCCGTGGCGTGCGCTGCATCCCAGCTCCCTGGCGCCGGCTGACCCTCGGCGCTGGTGGCCACCACATCAGTGGAGGTTGAAAACCAAGCAGCTGAGGAAGGCATGGTGCCCAGCGAATAGGCCTCGCTCTGCCTGTTTGGCCGAAACATTGCAGGAAAATCCGGGTCCAGCTGCAGCATTTGATCAGATAGATCTGGCGCCCCGCACCACGACATGAGTCGAGAGGTGGGAGCTGGAAGTCTTATTAAATGACCAGGAAAACTGGACAGTCAAATCACTTGAAACTACACAATTCGAGCCACGAATGCAACGGAAACCACTGAGTCTGGAGGCACAGCGGAGAAATTGCCAGCAATTCGTGCACAGTCCCAACAAAGTACATAGCACCATAGGATGACTGAAGCCCGATGTCAAGTTGTACAGTAGGCATCCATTAATTATGACGGTTGACACTGGATTGAAGGGACAGTCAGAACTGGGACTCCCCAGCACTTGCAAAGCTCAGCAGCCCAAACAGCAGCAAAAGGCCTCGTTGCACTCAAGATCATTCAAGCAATAAGCTGCTCATCGCAGCTTCCAAACTCCAAGTCATGCCGCCATTGACTCTCTTCTTTGAGATCCAAGCCGCGATTCCCAAAATTGCTTGGATGTTGCTGCGAGTCGATGACTCGGTTCCTTTTGGTTCGGTGAGTGTCGGGCGTGATCTGGGTGTCCAAATGTGTGCAACCCATGTCAAGATCATCCCACATCCAACAACCATTCCCAGCCTGCAGCCGGCAGCACCAAGCGCAGCGCTGCAGACTTGCGCACACCCCGGGGGAACAGCCGCATCGCCTGAGGGCGGTCGATCTTAAACCTGCTGGGGGTGCGAATTCGGGGTAAACACATATCAAATAGATGTAAATACAGATCAAATAGATTCAACCAGTATATCGCCAGTCTGGTAAGTATGGGCCTGTCATTGAGGCATCATACAACGTCCTGGCCATCTGGGATACTGTAGATTTTCTCTGCATTCAACCAACCTATCACATCCTATCACAAATCATCTACACAACTATAGGAGGATGGAATAAAACAAGATTCTCGCCGCAGGACTGCTGCTCCACAGCTTGGATGCGGAGCTGAGATTCAACTGCATGGTGCTGCAGCAGTTTCCACACCAGTTTTCACAGGATCACATGCACAACCAAACAGCCCAAAGAAAGGCTCATCAAGACAGGCAGCCTCGGCTTGCCGCTTTACTCTTCCAATGTCCTCAAAATCCTGGGCTTCGCGCTTCCAAGCCAATCCCAAGCGTCACCCCCATGAGCGGGCATGCCTGAGAGGAGGGCAAGGAGCTTGCTGTGGCAGATCGACCGCCCGGGGTCGATCTAAGCGTGCAGCGAATCGAAGAAGGGAATCGACCGCGAAGTGTCCTTCGCATCACGTGACGCACTGAGGAGCCCAACGATCCGCAGACATTGAGGAAAGGTCTAGGCACCAAGAGACGTGAAGATCAACTCCAGAATTAGCTAGAAAAATGTGTTTGAATCTGGGCAGAGTCCATGGTCAAAGCTTGTGCTTGCTGCACTTGCATCCAAGGGACCACTAGCGAAGGAAGGGAGGCTGAGTAAAAGTGGTATGCTGCCTCAGCGGTCAAGGTCAAGGCATAACAGTCACGCCAGCGTAGGGAGTCAGTTTCCAAACAATCCACTTGCCAATCCCATGGACAAGAGCACGTGATCATGCTTTATGTGTCCTTTCTGAGTACAGTGTACATATGATTACATATGTCATATGAGTCATATGTATAGTGACTCATGCACTAGTCATAGTTGCTCATCGCTTGTAACATTGTGTGCACAAGCCATCAAACATGATATGGTATTCTGGTATTCTGGATGCTTCTATGCATGACACAACTGCCTCGCCAAGGTGCTTTGGGTGAGCCAAAGTCAAAGACGATCAGCTCTGTTGCAACCTTGAAACACTGGACTTGAGAACATGTCTAGTTGGAGTGGAATTTTCATGGTTTCACCGTGAATTTCACACAGAAACCGAACCCCCGATGCGTTGTCTTCTCAGAAACAGTGTCCCTCCTCGAGTCCAAGAAGCAATTCCGGCCATGTATGCCATGCTCAAGGAAGCCAAGGTGGCGCCAGGGGCTGATCCCGCCCTGAACAGGTGGATTTGAGAATAGGAGAAGAAACGAGCCAAAAAGGAGACAGAACTGAGAGCTTAACGCCTTAACGCCTTCAAAAGAACATGTCTGCTCGCCCTGGAGTGGTCTATCTGGCCTGTTGCAGCTGTGAAAAGCTTAAGGCCAGTGGTGGTCTGGGCTTAAAAGGAAAGAAAGTAGGCTTCAATGGTTGCAGTAGTAGGGATTTCGTGGCAAAGATTTGTCAGCTTCAGCAAAGGCTTCAAACGAAACCCTCCCTTCTGCGCCTTTGCTGGCCAGAACTTGCCTACCAGGCAAGGCAGCGACTAGCATTTCTACAAATTAGGAGTGGCCAACTCTCGTCACACCCAGGACGAACGTGACCTCCACAAACTGAACCGCACAGAGTTTCTAGAAACAGCCAGCCATGTTCTTTTTGGATTCGGAACAACGAGCCTCGCCTTTCCACTCGCTCGTCGAGCGGATCCGCTCGCCCGGGCCGGGACGGGTCTGGAGGAACTTCCTGGCTGACGCGTGATCTCTCGTCGTCGGAGTCGGTCAAGGTCCGATTTGTGTTTTGCATGTTCGTCGTCCCAAGAGCATCAAATTGCCAAGGGAAAACGGTTCTTGGTCTGTGCAATCAGTGAGGATTGGGATAGGAATTCTTGCGCTTTGCTGCATTCAGTGCATGCACCCAACCCTTCCTGGCAGAGAGAGCCATGCACTGACAGAGGCGCCAAAGGCCGCCAGAACGAGGCAGCGGGTCCCGTGGCGGGCCATCCAACCAAGGCGCTGAAGGCCACAAAAGGCTAAAGTTGGCAATGCTTTTGAAAGCTTCGACATTCTCCTTCAGTGAGGCTGCAACCCTTGAACTGTCTTAAACTGTTTGTAGGATGTTGTAGGTAGATCTTGGTCAAACAACATGGTCAAACTCAGAACTAGTCGATCTTGGTTGAACCATTGAACCTGTATATTAGTATCATTTGTATCTGGAAAGGCTGGACCATGAAAAAGCTAAAGGATGATATCACAGTGGCAAACTGATCAGTGTCTTTAGCTGCTGAAAAGAATAGGCAGTCTGAAACAGACAGCCACGTCGAGCCAGCAAACGGCGCCGTTGGGATCACAAAGTCTGCAACTCGCAGGCCTGCTGGGGCCTCTGGCTCCCTTTGACCGCCCCGCTTCGCCCTTCTGCCCCGCCCGGAAGAGACCCCCCGCTTGTGCTTCCGTCACCGCTGGAGGCCGCCGACACTGGCAGAAAGTGCGGGAAGAGGTGCGGGCCATGCGCTTGACCGAACACGTGATCCTAAAGTTTCTAACTTTAAAAAATAACAGATCTCGATGCAGGCTTCCGATCATCGAAACTACCCTCTGACCGACAGGAATCCTGCCTGGCAGCAGGGTTCATCTGCAGTCTCCAAACGGTTAGATAATGAGTCGCTAAGGAGCTTTCCCTGGAGTTTCTTCTATAAGGTCAGTGTCGAAACACATTGAAACCTGTACCAACCTGTACCAGTACCCAAATTATATTCCCACACTTCCGACATAACATATATATATATATATTTCAATATTACATATATATATATATACATGACTCATGTAGACCCCAAAATGCCTTCTGTTCTCCAATCTATTCGGACCGCAGCATCCGAGTAAATAGATGACAACGATCTCGTGAAATTCTGAATCCCAAACCTCAAACTCACTTAAACTCCACCCCATCCACCATCCCCACCACCAGGCTGTAGACGATGGTGCCCAGGCTCCAACTGTCGCACCTCGGAATGGCCGACGATTCCGACATGATTCCGGTTGAAGAGTGCTGAGTAGATCGCTTTGCATAAACATGTTCATGCATCAAAATGCGTTCACAAAAGGTTAGAGATGGACCGATGGATGCTCTGTCCAATCTCTTTCACATTGTTCAGAGTTTGCGGGAGAACTTGGGAGAAGATTCTGACAGAAAGGAAGTGGCCAGTGCTGCAGCTCAAAACACTGTCACGTCTTCAGCTTTGGCAGCATTTTGCTGCAAATCGGTTCTTGAAACAAGAAAAGGCTGCATCCTCAATGAGCACCCAAATTCAAAAGAGCAGGCCAATGGCCGAACCTACATGAGCTCTTCCACTGGGCTACCAAAAGGACTTCTGTTTCATCGGTGGCAAAATAGCTTTCACCCAATTCTCTCGAGCGCCCGCACATAGGCTTCATAGACTGCTCCACCTGAAGGAGTGGCACCAGCTTAAACCCCCTCCAATCTCCAGGGTGATTGAAAGTCCCCGATCATCAAACTCCAAAGGGAAATCCGCTGTCTAATTATCGCCTCTTGGACCAACAATTGCCTGTCTGGGATCTTGGATCTCAGCACTTTTTCCATTGGACTTCAGTGACACGAAAGGAAGGAAGCTACAAAAAATCCTTATATCTCCTGGACATGAATAACGGGATGCTGAATGCCTGCCTTCTGCAGGAAGCCGTTGGGGCCTACGCGATGAAACCTGCGGCCATCGACGTCCGAAACCCGGCTCAGGGCGAGTTTGCGGTCACCAGTTTACAAGCTTCTGCAGAGCTTCTGCCTGGAAGGAAAAAACATATCCAAAGACCTTGTTCCGGGTTTCGACCTCGAAAGCCTCTCGAAGGGGTTTCGGCCTCTCGATGCATTCAGGTGCCCAGCAGAGGTGATCCTCAGGCACTCCCGGCTCGTGTTTTTTTTTGCCCGTTTGCTCTCCCCCCTTCTCTCCCTACTTAGTTAAGATCAATTAAGTACGGAGTTAGGGTAGCTAGTAGGTACAGGACGCTCCTAGGTAGGACGCAGGATAGCTAACGCACTATTCATTTGGTTCCTAGATTTTTGGGGTTGCTCGGCGTGTCCATGGTTGCTCTCTATGGGGTGCCAAAACCCTCCGAACTCCCAACCTAAGACGACCCAAAATATCTCCCTCACCGGCGGCCCACCGTGGTCTGCTTTCGCACAGCGGCGGAGCTCGACGTGTCATTGATGACAACGCCCATGAGGCCCAGTCCGAAGACCTGTCGAAAGCGAGCCATCCGAGCAGCGGGAGTGCCCATCCGGGAAGAGCCGCGGGAACGGTGCGGTCAGCGGTGACCCAAGGAAGGAATCTGTATAAGTAGACCTCCCGACCAGCACAAGGGGGTCGGTTTAGCAGGGCTTCTTTGGGACACTCCAGAGTCTCTGCCCTCACTCCCGGCCTTGCAGAGCATGGGATGCTTCCGGCGTGTGGCTGGGATCAACACATGGCTCAAAGTCCACGAAAGGTGCAACCTCCGCTCATGCTCGATGTTGTTCGGCCGGTCAGAGATGTTCTTTGTAAAAAAACTGTTGATGGCACTTCCGTGGCAAGTTTTTGGTGTCGCCCGCAAGTTCGGTCCTGAAAGCTGAAACGGAGGTCCGGTCCGCAGGGTTCGTTTGCATCTGGGGGTCCGGTCAAGTTCATGCTTGCAGCAAAGGCCATGGCTGCAGCACACTCTCTCGCAATCTGTACGATGTCCTCCTCGCTGAAATGAGAGATCAAAGCAACTTGTAGCTGTTGTAGAGGCTTCACTCAACTTTGTACATCAGGGGGTTGACGCCCCAGTCTGTCGTTTCCTGCATGTGTGAGTGTGTGTGTCTGTGCATGTAATGGCCTGATCTCCTCCCTCAGGATGTATTTATCCCAATGTTCAGTCTGTTTCAAGGACAACGGACTGAAACATCGCCACTATGACAATGCCTCCCTCGCGCTTCTCCTGGGTCCACTGCGTATCTAAGACCGACTGCAATGTGACCTCAGTTCTTACTGCTCTAAAGCCTCTTGTGCAGGACCCACGGCCAAAACCACCTTGCATTCTGAAACATATCTCGTCTCAATGGGGTTCTTCACGACGGATCACTAAGGTGCAACAAAGCATGTCAAGGATGGACGTAATGAATCCTGGCTCCAGAAGCATGGCCAACATCTGCACGGCCCGGCGCAAGAATACTGTTCGTACATGAAGTAGAGGTGGGACTGGTCTTCCAATGCCTGACAAGTTCCCATGGGATACCATGGGCACATATTGTTGGTCTTCCATGGTTCCTTTTTCGATCTTATGTGTTCAGGATGGTCGCGCGTTTCGTATCAGTTGTTAGGCCGTTACAAGAAGCATCGAGTAGTAGTAGTAGTAGTAGTAGTAGTCGTCGTCGTCGGTCGTCGGTCGTCGGTCGTCGGTCGTCGGTCGTCGGTCGTCGGTCGTCGGTCGTCGGTCGTCAGTCGTCGGTCGTCGGTCGTCGGTCGTCCTACCACTACCACTACGACCCGCCTACCTGCCTACCTGCCTACCTGCCTGCCTACTAAGCACGGTGTCTTCCTATGTCACGAAAGTTAGTTATTGATGTGGTTCACGAAGGAGGATAGGATAACTCTCGTCAACCTGAGTGCATCCGATGAAACGGCTAGTGTTGAGACTCATTTTTTCTCAGACCTGGAAACTTTTGCGTACATGATGCGAATTCGGATCGAATGGTAGGCGTGTTTGTCGAGCGCTTTGTTGCTACCCTTGTTTTTGCGTGTTACGCCACCACATAGTGAGATTCCCTGCGCCTGCGCATGGAGCAGGCCCTCTCAATGGAATCTGTTCTTCTCTAGTTGAACCTCACTTTTCTTATTTGAGCCTCCCTTCTCTTAATCAAAACTCACTGTCCTTGTTTGAACCTATCTTCTCTTGATCGAACCTCTCTTCTCTTAATGGATCCTCTCTTTTCCTAATCAAACCTCTCTTTTCTTAATCAAACTGTTCTTTTCTCTTAGTCAGACTTGTCTTTTCTCAAAAGAACTTCTCTTTTCTTATTGGAACCTCACTTTTCTCAAAAGTAACTCTCTTCTCTTAATCGAATGCTTATTCTAATCGCTTAATCGCTGTTTCTAATCGTTTAATCGTTTGGGTTGAAATGCACGACCGCTTAATTACGTACGCAATGTGTTCACAAGATCTGGGTGTTACGAAAACATGAACTACCCCATGGTCGAGCTTGCAGGGTTGCATCAAGCTTCACCGTTCGCTTTTGCACCCAGCACAAAGGACAAGCACCCGCTCAAGTGGCTACAGCGTGCTGGACTTCGGCATCTCAGCACTACCCAAAACATCCCCCGCTGGTGATTTCAGTGGTATGACCTTCCTGAATCGCTAGACAGACTAGACACGTCTAAATAAAATGTCAGCCAATGCTCTGCTCATGCTCACACTTTCCACGCCTCATGGAGATAGAGCACATTGGCATGGTCACACTTCTGAAGCTGTCGAACCAAGGAGCGCACCTGTCAACCGCGACTACGAGGACCAACACCACATCGCCGCACCGACACCGGAGAATTGGGACCTGCTTCTCCCGCTCCATGGCTTGGGCACTTCGGACCAGGTGTTCAGCTCAAGGGCCGAAGCCCCACAGCACGCCACGACACGACACGACATGCGGTGGGGAGCCTCCTTGGGGCCGCTCTTGGGCGGGAGCTCATGCTTGGGCCTCGATGATGCGCGCGCGGCGCCCGCGCGGGCGCCTCATTTTCGGGTAAGGTTGGAAAGGAGTTCGAAGAGCCCAATCTGCAACACTTGGAGTTGGGGGCTCTTTTGTATGAACGTATCTGTTTGTTATAATCCAAAGGTTTGGACCACCTGCAAGAGCCAAATACATACATTTGCCTCGTTCCCTGACAACTGCGCTTATGCGTGGCAAGTCAGATCCCCAGCTCATGAGCTCAAGAAGACATCTTGCATCTCAGCATCATCGCCACTAGCCACTTTTGAGCCTCACACCTCGATGATCCTGCAGATTCAAAACCAGAGAACCCTCCAAACGGCCTCCCTCGGCCACCGGGCTTGATGAGGCACAGTCGTTCGATGGAGGTCTTCCGGTGGATCGCTTGCACCAAGCCTAGCCTTGGAGAGGCTACTAAGCCAAGGGCGGCTTCATTCGTCCGTCCACAAACATGTGTGTGTGTGTGGGTAGTATCAGATGTATCAGATGTATCAGTATCAAATATATCCAACCATTGGGTCTTGGCTCATGTATTTGCACTGTACGATGGCCAATTTGTTGCTCGATGACTCGTAAGGACAGTATCAATGTATCAACGAGTCACTGCATCAGTTCATCACTAGCAAGGGCCAAAATCTTTGCTCCCCCGCTTGTTGGGGACATTCATGTCCGGCCAGCCAAGCTCGTCAGTGTTGTCCAGCGAAAAGCCAGCCTCAAAATGGTGCATGCAATTGCAGCTATTTGTGAATAGGATTGAATAGGTATATAATTAGCCCTGGAAGGGCAGGTCATTCTATTCAATTCTAATCATTCTTCAGCAGACCGTCATTTTCGGTGGTCCATATGTGGCCACAGATCGCTGCCTTTGTGGCAAAAAGCCGCCGCAACCCCCCGCAGCGGCAGGCGTAGGCCTGAGCAAAATCCGGCAGGCCGAAGTTCATCTCGCTCTCCTTGCCGTGCGCGGTGCGACCGGAAGGACGGACGCGATGTTTTGCGGCGCGTCCGTGCCCGTCCGGCGCCCGTCCTCATACATGTCATTGCCCTGGCAAAGCAAGCGAATGGAGAATGAGGACGAGTGGGCCACTTGGCGCAAACACCAACAGTTGATGAATTAGGTTTGCTGAATCTAGGCGTCTGAATCCAAGAATGGACCGTTGCCAAACGGCAACCACCTTGATGGGTGAAGGAAGGTCAATCGCCCCATCTCTGAATACTGAAGAACCTGCCTTGTGGTTGGACGAACCACCTTGCATTTCATGTCCTCCCTGCTTTTCGCGCTTGTGGCGAGTGGCAAACCTTAATAGCCCACGCAGGCAATACATCCAGGCTAAATGAGATGGCTACAACAAATATGGCTTGCTGTTTTAGTTCTCATCATTGGGAAGACTGGTCAGGGCAGTTATGAGTCTGCTGTTCAAGCTCGGACTCTCTTAACTTCGTGCACAGCGTGCCCAGGCGGCCGGGCTCTGCAGGGAAGCATACTCGTTGGCAGGAGCCTTGCTCCATGCAAGGCCTCGAAAAACGGCCCAGGGGGGAGGTCCGGGTGGGTGGATCGCCATCAAGTTGCCATCAAGGTGTGACATCTCACAACAGTTGGCGCAACTGAAATCAGCAACTGTCCACAGTTGGCGCATTCATAGAGATTCGAATAAAGAGATTAAATGCGTGGTCTATGATCTTTTTGCTCGGCGCGACAATGCGAGCCTGAAGACTAGTGCCAGCTCCTGGTCGGAACCATGTTGCGACGATTTCCCTGTAGAGGCAGACTTTCACCAAGATTCTGGCGCAAGGTACCAGGGCTGCTCCACATTTCTCAGAAACACCTGAAGGCTTCCAGAACCCATGAAAAATGATTTGCCAACTATCTGTTCAGTCACAAGTGACAACACACCATGAAGAATGCACGCGCCCGAGCTTGTCTTGCTACGTAACGCCTTGGCTTACCATGGTCGAGCAGAGGTGGTCTACTGCCTCTAAAAGACGTGAAACCTGCAGGTTCTAAACAAGCTGCCCTGCATTAATGCATGACATTCATGACATAGTATTGATGAAGACATAACTGAAGCTTCCTGCGAACAGCTCTAACACCGGGAAAAGCAAGAAAACTTGTTTTGAGCGACTCATTCTCAGAGAAGTCTGCATTCCCCCTCTGCCATGGAGGTGGAGGCTCCTTTTTTGCGTTCTCCCCAAAAGTCGACCGCTGGTCTTAAGACGACCTCGTTCAGCGGCGGATCCGTCGAGTGGCACCTCTTCGGCCAAGAGGTCCATGACTTCACCCACCCATGGATCCTGACGTCCGACTGCCCACCGATCGCGCGGGCGCCGCCGCGTGCTTGGCAGACGTGCTTTCTGCGTCCGTGGCGCGCTCCGGAGGCGGTGATGGGTTTCGTTGGGCGTCCGGTGGTGATTCTCCGGAATCGACCCAAATATCCTAGAATATCCTAGATACACTCCATTCATGGACTGAAGAAATTCACCCAGATCAGAAACTGGGGTACCAGATGGTACCAGTAGGAATTGACTGAAGGGTCTGAAGGCGAAAGGTCAGAATTGCTGTGCGGGACCCAGTGGATGTGCCTGTGGTTGTTCAACCCAACTGCGTCCGCAGTTGCCCACGTGGCTGCTCCTAGCAGCTTCTTGCTACTAGTAGTCATGGCCTCCAACCTGCTAGCGATGGCCTCCAACCTAGTAGCTTCTAGCTCTTAGCGGGACTCTTCCGTCGCTCCTTGCGGCAATTGTAGCGCTTCCGGTCTCGACCTGGGCGACGCCACCGACACGACGGCGATCGACCATGGTCTCGACGCCATCGACGGGGTACCAATCTAGAAGGAATCTCATGGAAAAAAAATAGAAAAAAGAAAACGCTTCATTCTATGGACCAGTGGAACAGGAAAGTATTCCAAATCACCACCGGCCCACATCACTCAAGTGCTCCGGCGGCCCTCGGGTAGGTCTTGCAGGCGGAAGGCATCCTCCTCTCCTGCTCTGGGCCGACGTGAGCATTTCATAGCATTTCCATGGATTTGGCCGGGTTTGGGACAGGATTGATTGGTTCATACCTCGTAGTGGAGGATTGCAATAGATGTCCAAACTCTTTTCATCAACGGCCACTAGCTGGAAGCATTTGTCCAGCCAAGACCAAAGGGTCCCGGTCACTTGATGCAAGCTTATTGCCCCACGGCTAAGCCAGTGACGGGTGATCCACCCACCGCCGGTTTCCCGCCTGCCAAAGCATTTGTGGCCAGGTTTCCATCAGGACCAATGAGCCGCGCCATCCTTGGAGACGACTCGAGGCTTTTTGCCAACGAACGTTGCACGAAGAAGATGGTTTGACGGTTTGCGGGAAACCGCTAGGTCCGCTAGGTCTGTGTTCTTCTCAACTGGGAAAGAAGGAGAATCGATGAACATCTTCTGACAAAAGAGTGCAACCTCAGCAGACGACAATGCATTCTTGGCCCCAGTCAAGCTCTTTGTCCTGTCAGCACTTGCTGCAAGCTTGACCACTCATAAAAGCTCAAGCTCGTTGAAAAAGAACTTGATGCTTGTCAGTCCAAGGCATGGCTTGCTAACACGTCAACAAAAAGTATCTGGAAAGTGATCGGGATCACGTTCTTCTACGTGCCAAAGAATATGTTCATGAACCAGGGACCATAAGGGACCCACCCAGGACCCACTGGACCGACCCGGTCGGGTCGAATCCTCGGGATCGACCCGGTCCGTCGATCTTGGCCCCGCCTCTTGGGCGTCCTGCTACTTCGCGGCGTCTTGGACGTGGGAGTCCCCCTGGGCGCGATGTTTTCAGCTAACCATTGGAAAGCCGAAGAAAAAGTAACGTCCAGGATCTTTGCAGTCCATATGCTTTCTTTGCTCGAAGGCGCATCACTGCAATAAAAAGGCGCATCACAGTTGCTCGTTTCGCACCAATGCTTTTTCTCAAGTCTCTGGCTCAACTGAAAGGCTCGGAGCAGATGCATCCTGCAAGAGCTAGCTTGCGCAAAGCCAGAGCTAGCTTCACGATCGTCAATCACGAGAAAACGAAGCAATTCCATCCACACGGAAATTTCGCACCTCATAATATCTCGAGTGTTTTCAGCTTCCAACGCTGACCCAGGGATTGCATGTCTACAGTCTACATCTTGTTCTAAGTCCTTTCAGCAATTGATCAGTGACTCAACCAATCTCGGTCATTGACCTAGTTGACCTTTGGGGGAATTGACCAATGAAGCATCAGCAAACAATGGCAAACAGTAGAACAAAGATGAACAAGATGAACAGCTCGTGATGTAATGTTTAAATAAGAGATGAACATGATGAAACTGCTCTGAACCGATGTTCAGCAGAGCACCTGTCGGTGCAGGGCACGTTGCCAAGTCATAGAGGTACGAGCCCGCTTGGACGGATTGGGTCATTGTCAGACTGTGCTTGAATGTGTTGTTCGATGTCAAACTGATTCAAACTGCGGTAGAACACCAAGAACTCAGACTCCAAAATGAAAGCCATCTCTACTGCAGGATGATTATGTTCTTCAAACAGGGTAGTTCCACAAATCGAGAGTCAGTGGTTGTATCTTCCTTAGAAAACCAGTCCAAAACCTTGCCTTCAAGCGCAGGCCTGCAGCACTCCGCCATGACTTGACGCCTGAAACCACGAATCCGACTCAAAACAGACTGGAATTGAGGCCGAGGCGGTCCGTCGAACTCGACCCCCGGCTCTCCCACTTCGAACCCCGGCGCCTTGCTGTATTTGTTGTTGGCCCTTTTCGATGACCACTTTCCCGAGGTCTTTAATGTCGTGGGTGTCGATCTCGCAAGCACCGAGCCAGTGCGGCGCGCCGACCGCTCGAGGAACCGAGAAACCTCGCGAGAGCCAACGGACACGAAGCGATGAAAATGAATGGCCGATCTTTGCGGATCTTCAACTGGTTCCCATCGTGCGGATTGGCAGCATACTTGATAGTCCTACTCTGAAGTGAATCCGGACTCAAGGCAAACCACGAACTAGCCCTACAAACTCTACTGAAACCTCACAGAAGGGAATTTCAACTTAATCGTTGACTGGCGTGAGAACACCTGAACATCAATTTGTTGGAAGGTAGTTTGAATGAATGTCAGCAAAGTATCGCAAATTCCCTTCCTGGGCCGTTGATGAAAACCCCTCTGACCCCCCCCCCCGCCGGCCTGCCCGCGGATCAATGCCTGTCCCCCAACCCATAAAAAAAGGTCCGTCGACCGGGAGCGGTGCTACTGCTACTGCTACTGACTACTACTACTCCTACTCCTACTACTACTATTACTACTACTACTACTACTACTCCTGCTGCTACTACTCCTACTACTACTACTCCTACTACTACTACTCCTACCACTACCACTACCACTACCACTACCACTACCACTACCACTACCACTAC